TCCTGTCTCACTTCATGTTGATATCTATTTTTCATATCTTTAGACTTTAATAAAATCATTTTTATGTCTAGTTTAAAAAGAAACAACATCAATAACCCAAATTTTCTCATTTCCTCATCCTTTGACCCACACTGGGAGCAGGCAGGGAGTGCTAATAGCAGCTGGGAATAATATTCTGCTTCTGTTCAAGGCTATGTTGTTCTGTTCCTTTGTGACAGACAAACAAACAAACAAACAAACACTGGGAGCCTTCCTTGCTGCTTACAGAGTCAAAAAAGCAATGAAAAATTTATATTTACTTCCTATTTTATCAGAGTCTAAGAATACTGTCTTTGGCCTCAAAATGTCTTGTATTCATTAAGAAATAATACACTAACAATGTTAATTTGCCTAATTCCTGATTATAGACATCTATTTTGACAGGTTCTTTCCACGTGAAGCTGACAAATGACTGCTGCCAAATAAAAATTATTTATATTTTTAAAACTACCTATACTGGTTCCCATTAGAGAACCAGTACTCTACCAGTATACTACCAGTTAGAGTTAACAACTGAGAATGTCTGTTTTTATGCTATAATGAGTGTTTATAAATGGCTGCTGTTCTAGGGAGCACAGAATGCGAGATAACTTGGCTGCTACAGTTATATAGGCAAATTGCCTCATGCCCTTATTGGTTTTAATGCTCAGAGTCAGAGACCTGGTTTTAAGTTTCAGCTCAGCCTGGGACAGAGTTTCATTCTCTGGCCCTTTCAGCTAATTCCTCTGGACAATGGGGACCCCATGCCCACTGGCTGTAGGACTGGCCTTTCTATAACTATGGTACACAGTGACCCCAAAAGGCCAAGGAATGGACAGGTATTTTAAATATTTTATTTCATTAATTCCTCCAAACAAAAAAGCAAACAAGGAAAAAAAAAAAAAAGGGAAAACAAAATACAAAGAACAAGCACTTGGGATATCCCCTGGGTTCTCAACCAAGCTCCTTCTTTCCCTCTGAGTGTGAGGTCAAATTAAAGTACTGCAGGGAGGAATAAAAAGGATTATATTATGCTGATGTTTTTTGGGCTAAGAACAAAATGTTTCATGATTTTTAACTTAAAAATAATATAGAAGATAATACAGAAAGTAGTTACATGGGAAGTAGAACAGTTTTTCTATTTTTGTAAATTTTGAAACCCATGTCACTAGATTGCTTTTCTTTAAAATTATACTAAGATAAATACAAATGGCTATCCCTTCCAGGGTCACATTATTCAATACACAAGATAAGCCATGAGCACATACAGCAAAAGAGTGTAAAATTGAGCAATGCTGCTTGTATTGTGAGTTTTGCCAAGCTAAGCCTATGAGTGGGTACCATGTGTTAACTGTCAAATTTCAGAAGCAAAACTTTGCCCCTTGTTTGAAAGGAATGGAAAGGTAAGTTCATCTTGGTATTTTACTATGGGTAAGGTGGATCACAATATAGGACATGTCACAATTATACTACAATGCAAATGTTCTATGGTTTGCAATTGAAAAGGTTGTGAAGAATGTTTTTTCCCATTTTTAGAGAAATGAATGAGGAATCATTTCTCTAAAAATAGTCCATTCCAAAAGGTTTAACTCAAATATGTTCCATTTGAGTGCTGAGGAGGGGGATGTGTGTGTAGATTTCTCTCACATCTGTGACTCCTGCAAAAATATCTGGCAGTACATTCAGTTCTGTGTCTTAAAACCTCACAGGGCCAATTCTAAAATAATATTATAAATGCTCATAGTTATCATCACCTAACTAATCTAAAGCAATAAAATATTTGGCCCTTCAGTTTTCTCAGATCATCTGAAGCAACAGCTGACTTCTGGACTCTGGTTTCATTAGAAAGACTGTTTGTCATGGAGTAAATTTCATTGTAAATCAAGGAACCATACTTCACTGGCCCTCTAGAAAATAAACTATAATTATAAATGAACACTGTATGTTGATTTTCTGAATTTTGGGCAATTGAGAACTCTGTAAAGTCAAATAACAAATCTTTATCATGGGTGAGGTTGCACTTCAGGGGTAGAGTATGCAATTACCATGTGCAAGGCCCCAGTTCAACCCACCACACACACACACACACACACACACACACACACACACACATTAACTCTTCTTTTTTACATGTCCCAAACAAAATCTAAATGTTTTTTTAAGCTATAAATTTCCTCTTTCACTATATCTTCCTTGATGTGTTTATTGTGATGATTCATGACTCTAGTACTTTTTAATGTTACATTTTAGTTTAAAAATGTGCATGATATTTGTATGGTTTTTACAATTATTTGATTAATATGTGAAATAGCAAATTATCGGGACTCACGGGATTATGAAGAAAAGCTTAAATTCTTATTTTCAAGGACTTCTTTTCTTTTTTTTTTTTTTTGTACCAGGGATCGAATTCAGGTCCTTGTGCTTGCGCAGCAGGCAGTAAAACCACTGAGCTAAATCCCTGGCCCTCAAGAACTTATTTTCAAACATTTTCATGGTTTATAAGTTGACCATAATACAAATTTTCCTTAAAATCTATTGTTAAAACTGAGGGCATAGAGGATTCAAAGCCCCAGACTTCAATCTTTCCTCTCCCATTGTTACAACGCTGTGGAGTAGTCACAAGTCCTGGCCAGGGAACCCAGTCAGCACAAGTCAGGATCAGTGGACCTGAGTGCTGCTCAGGATAGCTGGAGACTTGAAAAAAAATAGGCTCACATTCTAACTCTACCATCCACGTGACCTATGGGTGTGGTCAGAAATGTGTGTGCCCCCACTGGGGTGTGTCTCTACCTCTTCAGGGCTCCCTCCTGCTTTCTGAAGACTCATCCCTGTCTATCCCTGCCTCTTCTCTCAGGGTGGCCAGGGCTGCTCTCACAGTCCATAAATCTAAGAGGCCTTTTAAGAAGGCCTTGGATTCAGTATGACGGTGGCACTGGGACTTCCTCCCCGTGGATATAGGTCTTTTGCTTTTCTCAGTCACGGTAAATAATGAATGGATTTGATCTACAACCTACATGAATAAGAATCTAACAGGTGAGATTAGCCACCTAGGTGCACAGAAAGAATTCAGGGGGCTACAGGTTATATGATTTGTAGCCATGCAGATTAAGAAATTAGTGATGTCTTCTCTAGATCAATCAGTCAATATACACCTGTAAAGCCTGGGTGTAATGGCCAAGATGGGGCAGCTATACTCCTCAGAAGGCAGCTCCAGATCACTGGAGACTACAGTAAGTGTATCCCTCATGTGACAGTCAAGAATGGTGTTTACAGCAAGCTAAAATTCACAAAGGCCTTCACATAACTTTGTAACACTATAAAAACAATGTGTAAAGTATATTATTCTTTCTGTTTAATACTGAGGAAACTAAAGCTGAGAGCAATTAAGTAAAACAACTGTGTTGAGACCATATCTGGCACTGGAATTTAGAGCCTCTGATTATAAATCCTGGATTCTTTCCCACACTCTTCTACTGCTTTTCTCAGAATTGAACTTAAGTGTTGCCTTTATTCATATTTTTGTTTTCATGCTTTACAATTTCTTCTTCTAGGGCACTTCTATTTCCCCCAGTGTTTTTTCTTTAACTCGTGAATCATAAATTCTGGTATAAAAGTTTTCATTTTTATTTTATCTTGGTTCAAAAATTTGATATGCTACCTGAATCATTTTACAATTCAATATATTTGAGAGCCAGAGTCTGCAAGGTAAACCTGACACATCATTTTATGTGACAGATGCTATTTTATTTGAAAATTAATATATGAATATATTCAGCACTGTAATTTTACATTCCTTCTACACGTGGTTGACAAACACATAAGCCCATACTTATGTGTATTTTGATGTGCAGTGTGGAGTGCTGAAAGTGTAATACAACAGTTGCTGAAAGTTCCCTTTTATCCTTTGTAGAAAGTACATGGGAAATTCTAGACATAAAGAAACTTATCTACTTATATAGATCAGAGGCTGGCAAACTATGGCCTATGGGACAAATTCTGCCTGCCACCTGCTTTTGTAAATAATACATTACTGGCACATAGCCACGCTAACTTACTTCTATATTATTGTCTATACAGTTGGCTGCTTTTCATACCCTGAGTGTTTGCAACAGAGATTTTGGTATGCCCACCCAGTTTAAAATACTGTCTGTTAATAGTGGATATATATAAACAAAAATACTGTGCCAGGCATCTTACCTTTGTTATGCCAATTTTCTAAATATATGCATTCCTGTGCAGTGGATACTAGCTAAGTCCCTACCACCATCTTAACACATGTCCTTATTAAAAGCCCCTCACATTATTGTATCCTTTTCTGATGGAAAAGCAAGCATCAAGAAAAATCAAATAAAATTTTTCTTCAAGTGAATTGACAGAAATGGGGTCCAGTGAGAGATGCCTGTATCTTTTCATTCAGTTGTTGTGATCCTTTAAAGGAAGAACCCTAGCCCTTTTTTTTCATGAATTAATAATTTAGCACTTTTCAAACTGCTAAACTCATTTTTGCAAATAAATTAAGTATAAAAAGAAGGGATATTTTCTACTTTTGGATAGGATTCATCCAGGAAGTAGCTGAGCCCTATAAATTCTTGACTACTTGACAATATGGCTAGATTAGTTCATCCTTTAACCCCAAAACAAGCCACACAAGAAACTCATAAACATCCTCCATTTAAAATGTTTTTCATTTTCCACTTCTATTTTGCTACACAGAAATGAAGATATATATTCATGATATATATTAATATAGCCTAAATTAATGACTTCTAAACAGTTAGGTGTTGCTTTCAGGCAGTTTATCCATGAAAAGCAACAGTAATATGAACAGTTCTGTTTAACTTAGCTAGTAATGACTGGGTAAATTATTCTCTAACCTGGTAAGATGATGATTCCTGTTGTGCCTGGAGGAAAAATGATTTTCCTCATTTAATTTTTAAAACACTGAGGGGAAAATATCCTAAATAGCCAAAATCTAGCTCAAAGAATCATAAAAAGATGGCTAGCTTAAAAGAGAAAGCTATCTCTATTTCTGAGTCTCTTGTTTTTAAGGATAGATCTGAACAGCATGCAAGGAGTTCCTGTATTTTAACAAGGCCATTCTAAATTACAACCCATGACAGCATGAGTGAGTTCACGTAAACACAGCTAGTGGTATCATGAGTAACAAAATCTGTCTCCATCAGACGCCCTTTATCCTGCGTAACAGACCTTCATGCTAATAGGCACTCAGGCTAAGTGTTAACCAGCTACAGCTGGTTTGTGCTATAAAAAGAACTAATGAAAACACAAAACCTAACTTCTCTATTCCACTCTGGACAGCACGTCAAAGCTACACAAAGACAGCCTTTTCCAAGTGCTCTCAGTGAATGAACTGGCCAGGTCTGGTTCTCTGAAGTTGTTTACTGAACAGTGTGTGCAAGGGACTCAGTAAGCACGCATGGGCAGGGGCGGGGTCTGGGGGAGGGGAGGGGCTGGTCACGTGATCTGGTGAACAAAGCCAATTTTTCGGAACGATTTTGGATTTAGTTTTATAACAAACAGGAGGCAGAAAAAAATTTCAAACGCAGAGGTAAAGTATCTCGAACAATTTCTTAAATACATATACTTAAGAGTACTTTGGTTTTTAATTACAAAAATTTTAATTTTTAAGTAAATTAATGTCTTATCAAATATTCTAAATTCTTAAGTAAAGGCAAATCTTTTCTTGTTGACTTATTTTCCAAGAGGAAATAATATTAGGATAAGAAGATAATAATTATTTTAATTCTTTATTTGGCTAAAAAAAGTCCAGGCTCTTAGTGCTAAAAGGGACTGTAGTGATTTTTCTCCCATCTTTCTATCTCATAGATGGTCCATTTAGGGCTTAGAGGATCTTAGTGCTGCAGGTTACACTGCTTGATGGCAAAAAGAATGTGGGTGTCTTGGCTTCATGAATTTTTTTATTCTATCTCATGCTAGAGTGGCTTCTTCAATGAGACCAAGAATAAAACAAAGAGAGTGATTGAATTATTTCATAATATTACGGTGTTTGACCTAACCTACCTACCTTTTTAATATATAACGTTACTTGCAATGTCAACTGAAAATTTAGGGAGTGGTCTTGCCATTTTTTTCATGTTCTTGAACAGGCTGAAAGTGTTATTCAGTGAACTATTCTATTCTGCTGGATAAAAGTTTTCTGCCTTAACCAGGCAGGGCTAATTCATGGTGCCTGAGACCTTAATCTGCAGTGCAGATGCTAACTCCTGAGTCAGCCCCCCTCTCTCCCCAGGACTCCAGGCCCATACTTCCATCTTCTGTGTGACAGCCCACCAAGATGTCCTGTCAACAACCCCATATCTACCTTCTGTATCCACCTAGGGTGCTTCAAGGCCAGGGCAGGGACAGGAAGCATACACGTGAGCAGATGTGGCTGCCTGTGATCAGCAGCCACCTCCCTTTGTCTCACTCTATCATGTGCTCACCTCTTTTCTTTTCTTTCTTTTTTTTTCAGTACTGGGAATACAACCCAGGCGTGCTCTACTTTAAGCTACACCTCAACTGCTTTTTTCATTTTGAGACAGAGTCTCACTGAGTTGTTCAGGCTGGCCTCCAACTTTGCATCCTCTTGCCTCAGCCTCCTGAGTAGCTAGGATTACAGGTGTGTGTTAACACACCTAGCTATGTGTTGACTTTATATTTCCCCAGAACTGGGAATTGAACTCAGGGTCTTTGCATTGAGCTACACTCTCAGTCCTTTTAAGATATTTTCTATTTTGAGTCAGAGTTTAGATAAGGCAATTGAAATTGCAATCCTCCTGCCTCAGCCCTCCAGAGTGCTGGGACTACAGGCGTGCCCACCATGCCCGGCTGTTCTCACCTTTTTAACCAGCCCTCCAGAAGCCTGCTACCTGTCACAATCAAGAGGCCCAGCAACTCTGGGAATTTCCCAGCTGCTCCAAGTGCGGTGATTTCTGACTTCAAGTCTAGTCTTTCTTTTAGCCTTTCCCCAGGCTGCTGTTTGTCAGTGTCATTTTCCAAGTTATTAAAGTTGAAAACTTCAAAGTCATTTTTAGACCCCACTTCACTACCTTACTCCTTGAACCTAAACCATTACCAAATCCAAATGGTTTTTCCTTTATTCTAAAAACGGTTTTTGATTTTTCATCCCATCTGCTAAACGCTCTTGCAGAGTTAGAGCACCTCACACTCGACATTCAGCCTTTCAAATCTTGCCTCACCACAAAGACGGAACTTTGATTATATCAAGTGTAGTCCGTAGTTTGTCTATAGGATAAACTTTAAAGCCCTGTGCAACACAACCTCAATCTACCTTTCCAGTGACTTATTTATTTATTGGGTACCAGGGATAGAACTTGGGTCCCTGCGCTTGTGAGGCAGGTGGCAGAACCACTGAGCTAAATCCCTGGCCCTTATTTATTTATTTTTGAGAAAAGGTCTCCCTACGTAATTCAGGCTGGCCCTGAATTTACTATGTAGCCCAGGCTGGCCCTGAACTCAGGGTGATCCTCCCGCCTTAGTCTCCCAAGTACTGGGATTACAGGCATGCACTACCATGTCCAGCTTTCAGTGATTTCTTCTTTTTTTTTTGGTATGGAGAATTGAACTCAGGCCCTCATGTGTGACAGGCAGGAGCTTTGCCGCTGAGCTACATCCCCAGCCCTTTCTAGTGACTTCTGTATCTGAACTTTTACAGTTAAAATATGATGGTGGTCTGGGCATTCAGTATAGATGCGAACACAGCATTTATTTATCTGATAAACATTTATGAAGTACTTATCATTCACCCAGCTCTGTGCCAGATGGTACTGAGAGACCTGGGGCAAACAGGAGTACACACACAGACAACAAAGGCATAGTTACTTTGCTTGAAAACACTTAAGTCACCAAGGGGAAACACATATAGTTGAGTAAGACAGGGCATGACAGACATAAGAGAATAAAACTTTAGAACAGGTCTTAGAGATTTATAACTTACAGATAAAATGGCCAAGGCAAGGAGAGATTATATGAGCTTCCAAAGTCATGCATTTAGTATTTGCTGTCACTATTAAGACAAACCATGTAAGGAAACACTAAATCTATTGAGAGATCATGTAATCTACAATTACAAGAGGTGCTCAAAGTGGTGGCCATTAGCTTCTACTTCTTTATTAGTATGGTGAACTGCTGAAGTGTGTATACATTTTTTTGGGCAGACTCTATTTAAACACTAAATGATTCCAACACAAAAGGCCACACATATGGCCTAAGTCTACTGACAGAAAATGTTCAGAATAGATAAATCTATAGAGACAGGAAGTATAGTAGTGGTTGCCAGGGGCTGGAGGCCAGAGGGGAACAGGAAGTCACTGCTAATGGATCTGAGTCTCCTTGTGGGGCAAAGTTGTTCTACAGTTAGACGGTGTGATAGTCACACTGCATGGTGAACATAGTAAAACCCAAGGAATTATACCCTTTAAAATGGTTTAAATGGTCAAGTTTACCCCACAACCAAAACAAAGCTGAATGATCCCATGCTATAATCACAGAGATCTAATTCGTCCTCTTCAAAAACCCGTGGGAGTTGTTGCAATTCTTTTCTTACCCTGCCGATATAATTTCTAATTTGCATTCTATTAGACTATATGTGTGTGTGCACCCGCATGTGTGTGTGTATGTAACATCCTGTCTCCCTAAAAAGATAATTGAGGGCTGGTGATTTAGCTCAATGGTGCCGCCACCTACCTTGCAAGTGCAGGGTACGAAGTTTGATTCTCAGTACCCGCCCCCCACAAAAGATAACTGAGCTTCTTCAGCAGAGACATAATAGCATGTAATTCTCTACTCAATCGCTAGTGTAAATCTTTCTTACTCCCTTCCTTCTGTTATTTTTTTTTTTAGTAACTCCCATGTTAAAGGAGTAAAACAATACATGTGCTGGGTGGGTGTTAAAATTATTTTGTAATTAATGCAATACTAACGAATGGAATTGCTCTCAGAAACACAAAAGAACCACAGAAGAATATCAAGATCAATACTATTAAATCTCAATTTATTAGGTGTGACAACTAAGGTTGAGAGACAAGTTATTTGACAAATGTTGTACAGTTAGGCAACATCACAGTCCAAATTAAAACACAGGATTCCTAATTATTAAATGACTATTCCATTTTTTTTTTTTTTTTTGGTACCGGGGATCAAACTTGGGTCCTTGCGCTTACGCAGCAGGCGGCGAAACCACTGAGCTAAATCCCCAGCCCTCAAATGACTGCTCTTGCTACAACTTCACTATATTGTGACAGGTTTTCCATATCATTCTGCTTGAGAACTTACTGTAACTCCACATTTCATTAATGGTAAACTTTGATCTTAGCTTTAAGACCTCCAGGGGAATTACTATTTCACCAAGCTCATTTCTGTTTTGTTTTGGTTTTTTTTTTTGGTACTGGGGATCAAACTCAGGACCTTGTGCTTGCGAGGCAGGCACCAGAACCACTGAGCTAAATCCCCGGCCCAAGCTCATTTCTGTTTACATGGAAACTGCATCTCTGACATTCCTCTTATCATCTGCCACACCCCCCCACCTCAACTCTCATTGGTAAATCAATAATGCTTTCATACAACTGTAAATGTATTTCATTTGAATCCACTGATTTGCGATTTGACACAATGAAATCTGGACTTTGAAAGAAAAAGTATGTCAGTTTTTATGGGTGACAACATCTCCATACTCATTAGGACCATGCTGTCACTCAGAAAGAACAATGGGTATTATTCCTGTGCTCACATTATATTTTATAAATTTGGGGTTCATATACATGGACTCATTGTGTTCATAATAATATCTACAGCTTGTGGAGTGCTTTCATTATGAGGAAACTGAGTCTCAGGGAAGTAAAATACTTCAAGTTAAATTCTAGTTTCTCTTTTATGCTCTCTGATTCCAAGTTCTGAGTATTAAGAGATAACTGGGTGGCCCTGCCTTGCCTCCCTCCCTCCTTCTTGCATGCATTGATTCTTCACCACTCAGACCTCCTTCTCTGGAAACAATGTCTTCCTATGGTTCAGTACAATGTGAGGATTCAAGACTGTGACACTGATATCTCAAGTTGATTTTATTCCCATTGATGTCAAATCCCCTGGAAATTCTGCCTTGGTCAACAACTGTGTGGTTCTAGTCCTGGGCCCAACCTGTATAGCACCCTATTGGTACCTCCTCCCCCAGGTTCCTGTGAGACAACAGCCTCTTTCACTGCACTCATTCAGTTGCCTGCATACCCTGGGTGGCACAGCCACTACTCTTCCAGGCTCTCATTCCCAGTATGACGAAGAGTTCTACAAGTGGTAAGGGATGGATACCGTTTGTTTTGATAATGGTTTACACAGCACAAAACTTCTGTGACAACATCAAATCAAAAACATGGTCACAACAGTAGAAATCTTAGTGTAAAGTGTGAATAATATTCCAAATCAACATGATCTTAGTACTGCTCCTCTGCTTCACATATTCAGAATCACTGCATGCTTCCCAGAAGGACCACAACAGACAGCTGTAGCCTTCCCATTTTACAAGGGATAGAACTGACATTAAAATACCTTGCCCAAGAAAACGATGGAGGAAGGCGCACACAGATGCAGGTCGCAGGTTTGCCAAAGGACAAGAAGAGGTGTGGTGAGGGCAGTGGCAGGGGATGTTGCTAAAGGATGGCACCATTCACCCTCAGGAAAGGAAGATGAGTCAGAGTGCAGTTCCTCATCTTTTTATCACCATAATGACCTCAAAGTTATGGCAAGGAGACTATAAGAGAGCAGACATCTGCTCCAGTCTCTCACTTGTGGAATAGAATGTTCCACATACCAAATGCTGGGCTAGGTCCTGGGAAATGCAGAAAAGGCAACTTTATGCATAGATACTACTCCTTCAACCTATAGCCTAGAGATTAGAAAGAAGGACAGAGAAACAAGAGTTGATGCAAGGAGCTGAGCATGGTGACACCTGCCTATAATCCCAAAACCCTGGCAGGCTGAGACAGGAAGAGATCAAGTTTGAGCCCAGTCTGGACAACTTAGCAAGGACCTGCCTCAAAAAATAAAAAATGGCTGGGATGCAACTGAGTGGGAAGGCCCTGAGTTTGATCTCCAGATGGGGGAAAAAAAGACTTGATGCAAGGACCACTTTGGACATTAGAAACTGATGTGGCTGAGTGACTATATTACCATTCCTTTCCATAGAAGGCTTCAATTGCTAAGTAAGTTCCAGCATGATTTGCTTGAGTGACCATTCTCCCACCTCTTCCCATAGAAGACTTCAATGGCAAAATTAATTCTAGCATGAAAGGCCTTTGTGGAGGGCAATTGTCTAAGGTTGGCCAAACCTTCCCTGAGAACAATGCAAGGTGCAGTCTGGACTGTGCTCCTGGCACCAACAGTGCCTGCTATATGTACAGGTCATGCAAACAGCAGCTGAATAAAAATCTGTAGATTAAAAAAATGGGAAAGAATGAAATAATTTTTAGATAACAAAATCTGAATTAAAAGAATTGGTCCATGGGCTAAATCTGGCAAGATGAAATCTAACAAGGATAACAATAATGTGCTGAATTAAGGTCCACATAAAAAACCAACTCCACAGACAATAACAGAGATGATAACATTTTATCAGGATGGAACCCCAGGGTAATATCAAGGAACATCTGTAGTTCCATATCCTGGTGACTCAAGACAATTGCTGTAATAATTTGGTTACAATACATTTATTTATACTATTAAAAAGTTTGGTTATGCTATGCAGAAAAAGCATTTAACAAAATCCAATATCCTTTCATGATACAAACATTATGTAGGGCATTTAGGATAAACCCACAGCTAATAGCATACTCAATTGTGAAAGAATGAAAATGTTCATCATAAAATCAGTAACAGGACAAAGACCCTGCTTTTGCTACATGGCGATGCTGTGCTGGAAATATTAGCTAAGGCAGACTAGTAAGAAAAAGAAACAAATGAGACACAAATTGGAAAGGAAGAAGTAAAACTGTCTCTACTCAGAGATGAAGTGATTGTATATGTAGAAAATCCAAAAAAATTTGTTGTCAATAAAGACATTCAACAGTACTGCAGGATACAAGGTAAAAAAACAAAAAGTTGCATTTTTATACATTATCAATAACAATGTAAAAAAATTTAAAAAGCAATTGGTTTATAATATCAAAAGAAGAGGGCCAGGGATTTAGCTCAGTGGTTCTGTCACCTGCCTCACAAGTGCAAGGTCCTGAGTTTGATCGCCGGTACCAAAAACAAAAGAAGAAAGTATAAGTAAATTTAACCAAAGATGTGCTAGAGTTCTCTACCAGACAAAATGGCCCCAACGGTCCTACATTCTAAAATGGCTCCTGTTCCTAAAATGGTTCCCACTTATGGAAATGAGCCACTTGGTGGGGGGGAGTGAAACCTACTCCCTTTGGAGAAGCAAAACCTAACTTGTTGCTCCACCCTACTGCCCACGTGATCCTCCTCTCCTAATCACCCAGCTTCCCCTTGCTCAACTCATGGTACTCTCCCCGCTGCACCACCCTATATGAACCTCACCCCCAGTTAGTCTCGCCCTCTCTCGCCATTGTTCAAGGCAGCCCAGCAGCTCCTTCCCCAATAAAGCCCTGCCTCAGGTGCTCTTGTTTCGGCTTGTTTTCTTTCAAGAAGTATTAGATTTATACAATATAAATGCTAAACATTTCTGAAAAATTAAATAAGATCAAAATAAATGGAAAGGCATGTTATCTTTATGGACTAGAAAATTTAATATTAAGATGACAATCCTGACACATACAGATTCAATGACATTCTTAAACCCATGGCCTCTTTTACAGAAATGAAAATGCTAATCCAAAAATTAAGATGAGATTTCCATAATTCTTGAGTAGCCAAATTAACTTAAAATGCATCAAATACTCAAATATAATGGCTAAAACTATAAAACTCTTAAGTAAAATACAGGAACAAATTTTCATGACGTTGAATTTGACAATAGATTAGATAAGACACTAAAAGCACAAGCCAAAAGAGAGAGGGAGAGAAAAAACAAAAAATAGATAAATTGATTGAAAACCAGCAAAATGAAAACTTTTGCATATTAAAGGAAACCATTAAGAAAGTGAAAAGCCAACTTACAGACCAGATCTGGCATGTTCAAGGTGGTATGGCCTTAGAAAAAGCAACTTACAGAATGGGAAGGAATTTTTCCAAATTATTTATCTGAAAGGGTTCTATAATCCAGAATATATTTTTAAAACTCTTATAATTCAACTACAAAAAAGACGACACAATTAAAAAATGAGTAAAATACTTGAATGACATTTCACCACAGTAGATATGCAAATTAAAAGCACATTAAAGAAGCTCAATATCATTAGAGAAACGCAAATCAAAGCCACAATAAGGTACCATTTCACACCATTAGGAGGGTTGTTATTAAAAAAAGAAAAGGATAAAGGAAGGAAGGATTAAAAGAAACAGAAAGGAAAGGAAAAACAAAGAAAAGGAAGGAAGGAAAATAGAAAAGAAATTAGAAAGTTTTAGTAAGGATGTTAATCAATTCACACTATTCTGTATTATTTGTAAAAATTTAAGACAGTACAGCCACTATGGAAAGCAGTATGATGGTTCCTAAAAAAGTTAAACATAAAATTACCATGTAGATCCAGAAATTCTAATACTGGGGTATACTTAAGAGAAATAAAAGTATGTCTACAGAAGAAGTTTTACACAGATGTTCAAAGCATCATTATTCGTAGTAGTCAAAAAGGAGATAGAATAAAAATGTCCATAAACTGATGAATGGATAAACAAAATTTGGTATATCCATAATGGAATATTATTCTCCCATACAAAGGAACAACAAAATGGTATATGTTAACATGGATGAATCTCAAAAAACATCATGCTATGTGAAAGATACATAATAGGTCATACATTGTACGATCCTATTTATATGAAATATCCAAAATAGGTAAACACATAGAGACAGAGAGCTGATTAGTGGCTGTCATGGACGAGCGAAGTGGTTAACAGGGAGGGACTGCTTAATGAATACACGATTTCCTTTGGGATGAGGAAAGTATTTCAAAATCAAATGGAGTTGGAGATTGTACAACATTGAGTATACTATTACTGAATTGTATACTTTAAGACAGTTAATTTTATGTTTCACCATTATGTCCAATTTTATGTTGTTCATCTCAATAAAACAAATGAACAAATAAAATTCCTATGGTTCCAGGCCGGGAATTTAGCTCAGTGGTTCTGCCACCTGCTTTGCAAGTACAAGGTCCAGAGTTTGATCCCCGGTACACACACACAAAAAAAATTTCCTATGGTTCTGCCAGGTATTCACGGAGCCTGTCCCATAGTTCCTCCTTGGAGACAGTGACTAGAAACAGCCTCTTCCCATGTAAAACCCAGATCATCTATGTTAAGGGGACACATATGAATGTATATATATTTTTAACCAAAATGTTAACTGAGCATGCTCTTTAAGCAGAGGTAACAGATGAATCATAGGTGCAAGGCCTGCAGCTATGTGGCTTCATCGCTGTACCTTAGCTCCTTAGGTTGCACAAATTTCCACCCACCCACAAAACAGAGACCAGATAGTCTTTTTTTAGAAAGCACCTGGAAGAAATTAAAAATTTTAATATAAGACAAATTACCAGACAGTTCTTTCACATCTCACCATAATGAATGTCTCTTGCCCCTCATATGTACTAATCCTTGTATAACATTTATCACCTTAGGGAATCTCATTCTAATCTTTTGTAGAGAAAGGATATTATGGATCAATAAGCCAAGAATTACTCATATTCAAGAATTTCAAAGACAAGATCTGCAGTTTCCCACTTCTCTATAGTTCATGAAGAAATGGTCCCTCAAGAGAGCTTCAGCTTCTCAAAATCAAGTATCTGTTTGTGGGTTTCCTAGGTAGCCAGGGTTCTACGATAAAGACTGGAGGTACAGCTACAGCTGAAGCTTTCCAAGGCCAACAAAGTGGTAGATGTACAGGAGATACTAACATTTATTTCAGTCTTCTTGCTCCTGAAGAAGGGAACACAGCTTGATCCTTTTTCTTGTTCTTTTAGCAGAAACTTCTGCAGAGACAACCTGCATTGGGATTTCACACCAGAGAGAGGAAGAATGGTCATGTGCTTAAGGCAAAAAAGTGGTGGGCCAGGATGGCCCACACCTGAGGGTCCTCACACAGCTGTGTGCAACAGACCTATCCAAGACCCGGAAAAGCCCACTTCCACCAGCTTCCCCTGGTTGGCTCAGTTCTTTTTGTTTCATTGTAGTAGTGAGTAATGGTAATTTGATTTCATTCAGTGTTAAGTGTTGTATTTTAATACTTTAATTATCTACCTGTGGTTATTTTTTTCTTGACCTCAATTCTGCATTAATTGTAATGAATGTTTTAAAACCCTTACATCATTATCACTTGGATTCTTTTTTTTCTTTATAAACATCTTCACTAAAGAGCTGCCCTTGTTCCTCCTTTGTCAGATATCCTCTTCCTTGCTCCTTGCTTCATTACATTGACTAAACACCCTCCTACTTCCAAGAGTCTCACCCTCTATTTGACTGGAGAGAAATAAGTGTCACCTTTTTCCTAAAGCAGAGAACTCCTGGCAATTCCTACCTCACTGGGCTCCCTGTCAATACATGACACATGACAGCATTTATAGGACAGCTTCCTGGTCTAGCTAGTTCTGAGAAAAGAAGGGGAACACAATCTTACCCCACCTACTCAGTTGCTCACTTGGCCACTATTTTTTCCCATCAGCACATACTTGTTAAGTGTCCAACGTGTTCATTGCCCTGTACTAGAACCAGATGAGTCACTGCCCGTGACCTCAGAAGAATTATTTATGGTTAAATGGGAGAAGTAAAAGAAATCTGAATGAGCTTATTTTGAACCTGCTGGCAAGTTATCAATGCAATGTATAATATCTGGTCATTAGTTTTACTATGTAATCAAGCATATGTCTTGATATCCTTGTATCTGTTACTCTCTTTTGTATGTATGCAAATAAATGTGAAGGTTCAGAACATTTGTAATATCAGTAACAGAAAAATAAGTCAGGAAGGAACAAGGGTATCTCTTCATATACCAGAATCTCTTGTTCTTGGGAAGGAGAGTGTTCCTCCCAAGAACTACGTGGAAAAATCTGTTTGCTTCATTTTCTGTGGAGATGGAGCTGATCTGACTTAAGGGATCTAGAACTAGAGAGCCAAGAAATCAGTAGAAGAGAGTCTTCCAAGATTGCTAGCTGGCTGCACCAAGTGCTCTGGGTCTCGCTGGGAAACAGTGCAGAGTAGGTCACTTGACAGACGCAAACAGGGGCAGGGACAGGAAGGTGTAGCAGCCCAGCGGAGGCAGGAAGTCTAAGTCAAGTCAGACTTGATCCTACCCCACCTGTGCTTCTTGGCCACACAGGCATGTGACACTGTGGGCTTGCATACAGTCAGCCAGGCAGACTCCACCAGGCTGTGTGCTCTGTGTCTCATGGCTTTTCTATGAGTTGTCATCTCAGAAAAGTACATTCCAGAACTGAAGTTTGGCTCATAGGAGATTTCTAGTGTGACCAAACTGCTCCTCCAGGGTGCAGCTGCAGGCCCAGGAGTAGGGGTACAGACTGTTCCCTGTCTTCAGCCTCTTTCAAGAGCAAAAGTTTCCAGAGAAAAGAGGTCAGGAACAGGGAGGGAAAAATTCCATGCCTTTAATATAGGGCCACCTTGAAATCATTCTTGATCTTGACAGATAACATGTGCTGGAAAATCACCACAGCCAGGTTAATTTGCAAACTTAGAATTATGGTTGCACATAATATATCTGGGTATGATTCTGGAAAATTCCTCTTGCTATTACATTATTAAAGTCTTTATTTTTATAATTGCCTATTTCTATCTCATTAAACTAATTTCCTTGTTTTAAGTGATTTCTTCAAGTTTATTGCTGGTATAATGCATAGGAAAAGAACACAAAAGCTTTCACTGCTGTTTTCATATTACCCATAAGTTCACTGAGGATGGTACTGAAGAAAGGTAGCCATAAAAGAGAGCACAAATCAAATGTGTTTAAAGAACATGAACATACTGTTTTAAAATTGTCTACCCTTCTGACTTTAATCTGAAACATTTAAAATTTCAATTGGCTGTAACCTGATACTAGTTCAATAAAATGATAAAACTGTAAACAAGAGACAAGGAGCAGAAAAAAATGGATCAATTTTCTGCCTTTAGGAGGAAAGAAAGCAAAAATTACAAAACTCTCAGAAGAGAACATTTTGCTGGATATGGTGGCACACATCTCTAATCCCAGCTACTCAGGAGGTTGAGGAAGGAACATTATAAATTGAAGGCCAGCCTGGGCAATTCAGCAAGACCCTGTCTCAAAATAAAACTTAGAAAAGGGCTGATGGCATAGCTAAGTGGGTAGAGTGTTTGCCTAGGATGAGCAAGTGGTTAGGCTTAATCCCTAATAACACACACACACATAACATGGGTGCACGCATGCATCCATGCATACATTAAAAAAAACAAGATAAATTGTACATCATCAACATTATACACCTTTGTGCTTCAAAGGACGCTATCAAAAAGTGAAAAAACACACAGAACAAGAAAAGCTATTTGTAAATCATAGATCTAATAAAGGAGTTGTATCCAGAACATATAAATAACTTACAAGTTAATAAAAAGACAACCTGATTTTAAAAAGAGGCAGCCAGGCAAGGTAGCACATACCTGTAATTCCAGCATTCATAGGGAGGCCGAAGCAGGAGGATCATAAATTTAACTCCTGCCTGAACAACTTAGTGAGATCCATCTCCAAATAAATAAAAAGAGCTGGGGATTCAGCTCACCGGTAAAGCACCAATGGGTTTGATTCTCCCAGTACTCCCAGGGTAGATGAGGGTAGGCAAAGAACATGAAAGACTTCTCCAAAAATGATATACCAATAACTAAAATAAATAGTAAACATAAGAAAAGATGCTCAACATCACTAATCATCAGGGAAATATAAATCAAAACTATGAAATACCACTTCACACCCACTGGAAAGCTATAATAAAAAAGATAACTTTTATTTAGGACATGAAATTAGAACCCTCAAGTTTAATTGTAAAATAAATGGTTCAGCCACTTTGAACAAAGTCTGACGGTTTCTCAGAGGAATTAGAGTATTAAACATAGAGTTACAAGATGTCCCAGCAATTCTACTCCTAGATATATAAGGCAAGTGAGATGAAACTATGTCTACACAAAAATCTTGTAGACAGATATTCATAGTAGCACTATTCTAATCAGTCAAAAAGTGGAAACAACCCAGAGGTACATCAACTAATAGAGATAATCGAAATAAGTAAATGGGTTAGAATTCTGACAAAAAGATCATACCGATACATGTCACCACATAGATGAACATTGAAAACATCATACTAAGTGAAAGAAGCCAATTATAAGAGACTACTATATGATTCAATTTATATGAAATGTCTAGAAAAGCCAAGTCTATAGAAATAAAACGTAATAAATCAACAGTTGCCAGGGGCTGCGATGAATAGGGAATGGCGACTTGGCAGTCAACTGGTATGGAATTTCTTTCTCAGATTACAAAAATATTCTAGCATTAGATAATGGTTATGATTGTACAATTCTGTAAACACAAAACCCATAAAATTGTACACTTTCAATAGGTGAATTTTATGGGATATGAGGTTCTTTCTCATTAGCACTGAGAATCATACCCAGGGGGGTGCTACCATTCAGCTACATCCTCAGGCCTTTTTATATTCTAATTTTGAGACAAGATCTTGTCAAGTTGTACAAACTGGCCTCAAATTTGCAATTTTCCTATCTCAGTTTTCTGAGTAGCAGGATGTGAGTTTTATATCGATAAAACTCTTTAAAATAAAAAAAAGTAGGGGTTGAGGTCCAGATAGATTTTTTTTAGCTCCCCTTCAGTCAAGCTCTAATTTCTAGCTCTCTGTGTACAAAATAAAGAAGAATAAGCACTAGCTTTATAATTTCACGGGCTTTGATACTTGTAAGTCAGAACAGAAACAGGAAGAATGGCAAAGAACATAAAACATAAAAGATCAGGATGTCAATTAAAATTAGCAGTAGTAAGATGGGGCTGAGAAGAAATAGGGCCAAATGACTTGGATATCATCAGGACGGACCACCAAGAACTATTTTAGAAAAGAAATAGGAAAAAAGTTAAGTGGGTGACTGAGATTAAAAGGCTTATTTAAAATCCATGAACATGGTGCTAATGATTAAGAGATGATTCAAATTTATTGAATAAGCACAGGTTAAAAAAAAACAATTGGGCCATGGCATCAATTATGAGAATATATAAACAGGCTACCACATTATTAGAATAGCATAACCATCTTATGAAAATGTGATGCTAAACAGATCAGTCAATAAAATCATTCCACAGACTCTAACAGTATATAGCAGTAAACAGAAAAGCAAATGAGATGGCTCTGCTTGCTATGAGGGCATAATCTTCCCTCCAGGCTCTTTAACCCTGGGCAGGGATGATGTCACTGTTCCAGAGAAGGAATAACCTTGAGGAACCAACCACCCTACTTCAACACACAGAAAAGGAGATAGGAGTTCAGTGTATCGCCCAACTATTTAACAGGAATGAAAGTAAAGGCTCATATGTAAGGAGAAGAGCTGCTGCCACCCAGGGGACCTGTCTGTGAGCATACAGAGGGACTTAAATGTGCCACAGCTGGCCAACAACTCTTCTTTGCAAAAAAAAAAAAAAAAAAAAAATCTAGCAAGTTTCATAAAGTCTTTCTCCACTGTCCAAACACACATCAAGACCAATGCCTCCACACATTACATGCATTACCTTATAGTTCACGCTTTTCATTCTGCTTTAATACTGGATCGTTTTTACTATCAGAAGTCTGGGGTGTCTTTTTTAATGTGTCAGACAAAAACAAAACTACACCAAACATAATTACCAGCACCATCCAATACTAGACCCAGCATTAGGGGAGTTTTTGATTTTGTGGTACTGGGGGTTGAACTAATGGCCTCACACATGCTAGGCAATGCTCTAGTGATAAACAATGTCACCAGACCTTTAAATTAAAAAAAGAATTTTGAGACAGACCCTCACTAAATTGCCCAGGCTGGCCTTGAACTTGTCATTCTCTTGCCTCAGGCTCCTGATTAGTTGGGATTATAGCCATGTGCCACCACTCCTGGCTGTAAGGCAGTTTATTGTAACATGTTTATG